CAGAATGTGCCACTGTACCTTTAGAATCAGCAAGCAACCTGTGAGGTATTACTTTGAGACCACAACAATATACTGTTCCACAATAGCCACATAATCATCACCAATTAGTTTTTGCATCCTCTGATGATGCAACCTAAGGGTTACAAAAGAGATTTTCTAAATTTATCAGCTGATATTCTATAAAGACCAGCTTTCTCTCTCTCTCTCTGATTATTACTATATACTCATGTGTCATAACCCATTACTGTCATTATTCTATCTGATGCTCAAATTGTTCCATTTTTGCCAGTGAGAGCTCTTTCACACCAGCATCTGGGTCCCTGGATATGACTCCATTCTCCTCTGGGTACGATCTTGCTTTCTAGTACAGATGTCCCAGGCTCGCCTAGTACTCTCCCAGCTCCGACCTGGAACCAGCCATTTTTCTGGATCCTTGTAGTGGGGCTCATTCTCTCTTTTTCAGCAGATAAGCAACTTTCCATTCTCTCACCTTGTTTTCCTCATAATTTCATTTCCCTTCCTCTCCTACCTCCTTTCCTGGTCATTCATCATTTGCATGAGCACAAATAGCTCTTTGTCCTTGGTGGAAAGTGGGGAGAAGAGGGTCTGAGAGAAGGGACAGAGAGACAAAGACTCACAGTAAGTCTAGGACATCATTAACCATTTACCAGTCAATGAAAAGCTTCCTTTTTTATCAATTACCATGTGATCGGTTCATTCCAAAGCAAGGCCTGTTGTTTTGAGATGTCATTGTCTTCTGATTCAATGTACAAAATTTATATTATATTATATATCATTTTATTGTTTTATTTTATACTTATATAAAATACATGCACAGGAAAAAGTACCACCTATCCCCCTGTCACTTCTGTCCCCTTCTCTTGTTTTGTCTCCATCAGCACTTACTGCCTTCTAAACCCTAAAAAATGTGCTTCATTTTTACATTTCTATTCTCCTCCAAATAGAATATAAGTTCCATAAATGATAAGTCATTTTTTTGTTGTTTACTGCTGTGTTCACCACTATACTCACAGTGTCTAGAACAGTGCCTGGAATACAACAGGTGCCCATTAATTGTTTGTGAATGAGAAAAATGGCTTGCCTAGCACCCCGGGCCTAGAGGTAAGGAGGATCTGCTATGTATCCATTAAGCCTCTGCTTCAATGGCACCCCGCAAGCAGTCAGTTATTCCGTTTCCCGCGTTCCCAGAGCCTTTCTTGCACTTCCGGATCCTAAAACTAAAACTATCACATCATCATTGTTTACTTATACATCTGTCTCACTTGAAAACACTGCGAGTTCCTCTAAGACAAGGACGAGGTCAGACTTATCTTTATGGCCCAGCACTTAGCACAGCAGCTGGCACAGAAATGTCTGAACTCCTCCCACCTCTAGCCAGGTGCCCTTGCCACATGCCAGAGCTGCATGCTGGCTTTTCCTCTGCAGGCAGCCTCTCCTCCGTGAGCTGGGTTCTGGCTGTAGCCACTGACAAAGCCTTAAGCCCTGCCGGAAGCTCACAATGGGCCCTTTGACTCAACTGAACTGGGCTCTTTCAGGAAAAACACGTTCCCTGCCACAGCACCTGTCACTAAAGCCAGCGTTCCTACCGCTTTGAGGCAACACAGAGCCAGTGTTCATCAAGAAACAAGAGAGGGGCACAAGGCCGGCAGAGCCAGCGAGGCAGAGCGGTCTGACTTCTGGGAAGATGGGAGATGGGGTGGCAAGGTCGAGAGGGCCTTTCATCAACAGAGTTGCTGACATTCAGGCTCTGTGAATAGCCTGCATAGAGGACGGGACGGGGGAGGGGGCAAAATAAAAGAGTACAAACAGTAGAACTTGTCAGAGCTTTGCCTCAGAGATGGCTTACTTGCTCTTTTCTTTCAACCTTCTTTTCATTTTGCTCAGAAACCAGACTCTCAGGAGGGACGGTCAGCCGTAGTCTGCAGACATTTGCCTAGGAGAGACAGAGAGGAGAGGCCAGTTATAAATCCACATTTGGGGTAGAAAGAGCTGGGTGACCTTGTGCCTTTCAGAGCCTGTTTCCCTCCTTAGTGATGGAGATAATCATACCAGTCCAGCGTTTGCCTGGCCCATCACAGGCACTCACCATCCTGCTGCTCAAAACAAGAAAATTGCTGAGTGATTTCCTAGTGTTCAAACAGCATGTATAAGAGTGTGTATAGAATGATCTGATTTCACATGCATAGGCCAAAATATAGCTAGGGGGGATAGAGGTAAAAACACACACAGTGGTGATTGAGGTGCCTGGGTACTTCCTACTTGACTATATATTGAATTTTTACAATAGACATGCACATGTTCCATCACAAATGTTTCTAAGTCTATGCGCCCATGTTCACAGCATCATTATTCACAATAGCCAAAAAGTGGAAGCAATGCAAATGTCCATTGATAGATAAAGGGATAAGTAAAATGTGGCATATACATAGAATGAAATATTACACAGCCTTTAAGAGGAAGGAAATTCTGACACATGCTGCAATATGAATGAAACTTGAAGATGTTATGCTAAGTGAAATGAGCCAATAATACAAAGACAAATACTGTATGATTCCCCGTGCATGAAGTACCTAGAGTAGTCAAATTCATAGAGATGGCGAGCAGGATGGTGGGCTGCCAGGGGAGGAATGAGACAGAAGAATGAGCAGTTATTATTTAATGGGTATAGAGTTTCAGTTTGAAAAGATGAAAAAATTCTGGAGATAGATGGTGGTGATGTTTTCACAACAATGAGAATATGCTTAATGCTACATGACGTTTGTTTCATCCTAATGTCACAGTGTGGTCTGCTGTGACATATCCCAGGGAGAAGTGCTCCTGCAATTAAAAAAAAAAATCCCAAAGAGGACCCCAGCAGCACCCTGAGTATCCAACCCACTGCCATGGGGGCTTAACTTACAGGAGCGCTACTTGCCCCCTGTTATAGATCGATTGGTATCCCCCTAAAATTCATGAGTCCTAACCCCCAGTAACACAGAATATGACCTTGTTTGGAAACAGGGTCCTTAAAGAGGTTATTAAGTTAAAATGAAGGCAAAATGACTGATGTCCTTATAAAAATGGTAAATTCGGAGACAGACATGCATACTGGGAGAACACCATGTAAACTGCCCAGGAGAGAGGCCTGGCACAGATACTTCCCTCACAGCCCTCCGAAGGAGCCAACCCTACCAACACCTTCACTTTGAACTTCCAGCTCCAGAACTGTGAGACAATAAACATCTGTTGTCTAAGTCATCTGTTTTGTGGTACTTTTTACAGAAGCCCCAGCAAACTAATATACTCCCTAGCCTGGTTTGCAGGGTCAGAAATCTACACCAATCCACAGGGTGGCCTCTGAGCGAAACTACCTTGCAGCCTAGAAGCCCAGGGTGGGGTGGGATTGTAAAAGACCGTTGAAGTCCACCCTGCCAGCCTATGGAGGAACGAGTGAAGAAAACAACATAAAGGTAGTAGAACTAAGCTGACTTAAAATGAAGCCTGTAGAGTGAAGCGGACAAAACTGGTTCAGACTAAATGGGCTGAAGCATGAGGAATAGATTTTACTTTAGCTAGACTGAGGACTTAAAACTTTTGAACTTTTCAGTTGTACATCAATGCCTGGAAATAGATATAGAGATAGATATAGACATAGACATATAGATATAGACATATAGATATAGATATAGATAACCCTCTGATCATGCTCTGAAGGACTTAAGAATGTTCACGTGTCCAGACCACTTGTCATCCATTATACAGGCCATCGGACATCGGGAAGATTATCATCTTGGACCAATCCAAAGGCTAAGCACGCAGGGCTTACTCTTCTCAAGAATGTAATTTTTACGTAAGAACGCTTAACTTTTCTTTCTTCTTCAGAACACTCTGGGTATTGCCTAGTTGTGTTTCCAGTTTGTAAACACGAAGACCCTTGAATAAAACTGCTATTTTTAATTTTAGCAAAGCTTGATCCATTTGCACTTGGGTGACAGTATGAAGGAACCCCCACACCTAACAATACAACTGGCAGACAGATGCCCAGTCTGAGGGTAACATTTTCCAAGCCCAGGTGACAGGGCCCATTTGGAACATGTGTTAGCACTTCCTCATGCACCATCACCTCCCTTTGAGGCATCCCATTTTGTTATCAGGCAATTCTAACCTCAGAACTCCCACCTAATACACCCAGGTTGTCCTCAGGGACTGCAGCCTACTTTCCCTTTCTCTAGGCAGGCCTCCTGTCCTCTGAACCTCTTTTCTTCTGGATTAAACAACCCCGGTTCTTTCAATCACATGACTTGATTTCAAGAACTCTCTCCACCTTTACTCTCTTTTGGGCAAGCTTCATTGCCCAAAGACCCCAGGGCTATCTGCATCTTATGTGGCCAACTTTGCATCAAAACTTCAAAACTCACCACCAGTCATGTTGGCCAAAGAGAAACCAACCATTCCACAGGTAGCTCTCTTAGCTGACAGGCAACAACACTGATGGGAATCTGAGTCCTTCCAAAGAAAAGCAACCCTCTAACTTCAGGCCCCCTGAATTGGTTGGAACCAGCTGGCATCTGTACAAACATCAAAGTGTAACTCACACCAGGCAGGCAATCCAAGTTTGTGATGCTCAATAATGTTCTCTGATAGGCTGGATCTAACCCATAGTATAATTCTGCAGAGAAAAGGAGGTGCTCTTCTCCTGCACCACATCCCATACACAAACGTGTGTACACATACACATGTGTACATACATGCACACATTTGCACAGATGCACACATACACAGAGATTCCTACTAGCTGTGTTGACTATGGGCAAGATATTTAAGCTCTCTGAATCTTAAGGGCAAAATGTGGATAAAAGATAAATGTCTGGCACCTAGTAAGTCTCAATCAATGTTAAGTATTTTTATTATTATCTAGATATTATCATCATCCTACAAGCTCCAAAATAAAATAGACCTACTTGATTTCACAGCTTTGCTTTCTATAGAAATAACAATTTGGTCAAACCGATCTAGTGGACATTACCCCTGTGAAACCATTCTGTAGGTTAACTGCCCTAGAGGAGTAATCCCTAATGGCAATAATTTTCAGAACAAACTAAAAACCTGAAGAGGAGACAAGGCCCAGAGGTCCCCATAAGTCCAATCACCCAAAAGTGAGATGTCCCCTTCCCTTGTGTGAGCCCCTTCTTCATCTGTCCACCCATAACTTAGATATTCCTCAACGCACTTCCTATAGCTCTCACTGAGCCACGTGTACCCTAGGGTATGCAAAACCATGGGATAAATAGAATGCATTTCCCTAAACTCTCAGTTTTATCTGGTGACAGATAATAAATTAAAATAAAATGAACTTGTAAAATAAAACATTTGGCATCAAAGATATCTGGCAGTTGCAGCAGATGCTTGAGGCTACTACACTCAGACCCCTGTGTTAAGTGTTTAATCATCATTAGAGGTGCCCTAATGGGAACACCAGGATCACTGCTAGCGTTCTTTAATCAATCCTGACCCACTGATGACTAACTGTAAAGAAGCACTTTAAACCCAGCTTGGAAGGATCAGGCGCCCTCCTAATAATAAAAGGCTAAATGTCATGTGAAAAAAAGAAAGCTGCAAAAAATTGTTAAGACTCCCATATTTGTTTGTTAAACACACTCTAATCTTTTGCATAGATTTATGGGGGGGAAATGCCTTTAAGGCAACACAACCAACTGGTGATGATGATCTCTACAAAGTGGGATTTTTGTATTGTTTGCACTATTCCAAGTTTTTTAACTAAAATAATAATAGTAATAATAGCACTAGTAAAAACTGAGAGAGAATGTATCAGAAAGATAGGAAGAAAGGTAGCAACCCTTCCTAAACCCACAGGACTGTCTCAGGAACAGCAGAGAACATCCCAGTGGTCTAGAAGGTACTCTGAATTCCTTAACAGAGGTCCTAGGAAAAGTAACGCCTGAACACACCCACTAGGTGGACTTGGTACAGACTACCTGTACTCATTAGCTTTCAGAAATCTCTCTATAGTAAAATCCCCCACTGAGTAAGATCAAGGCAGTGTTTCTAATCTCTCTCAGCATTTGGTGATGCTAATCTCATGGTTTCCTGAAACTCAGCTACACAATACCCAGAGCAGCCCAGGCTGGGCAGTACCTGAGAGGCAGGTAGGGTCCTTCATTCCCAGGAGTTCTCACAGTGGCCGGCTCAGCCTTGTGTTCTGAACAATGAGGACAGCTGACTGTTCCTCTCCTTGAACACCACTGCTATTGCACCAGCTGTCCCTGCAAGCGGGGGTCCCTTCCAGTGGATAAAAGCAGGAACATGGACTCAGTGCATTTCACCACTCAGTTACTAAGCATCTACTACTTGTAAAATACTGTCAAGGGCTCTGAGGGTCCCGAGATGAAAAGAAAAACAGTCGTGTCCCCAGGAGCTCAGAATGCAAAAGCACACCTAAACAAGGCAATCAAGAACATTTAGTGTCACTGACAAACCGACACGAGTTCCTGAGAGATAAGGCAGATGGGTGGTTGAGGCATGGTAGAACTCTGCTTCCTGGATTCTAATATTGGTTCTGATAGCTACTAGCTATGAACCCTTTGGAAAGCTACTTAATCTTCAGCTTTGGGTGCCTTAGTTGTAAAACAGAGCTAACAATACTGCAGAACCACTCTCTTAGGATTGTGGTGAGGATTAAATTCACAAATACATGTCAAGGGCTTAGAACAGTTTCTGGCACATATTAAGCCCTCTGCAAGTGTTCTTTATTACCATGGGAATATAAGAAGAACGATAATCTTAACTGGAGGTGGGAATATATGGAAGGTTCCTAGAGATGACATCTGAGCTGCATAGAGAAGGACAGAAAAGACTTGTCAGGTCAGTGAAGTTTGGAGAACCCATTGCCAGAATAACAGACAAATACCAGGCAAGGTGTTCGTTCCAGGCTGG